TTATGTCACTTACAGAAGGCGTTTTCAGGCCCTGTTTTTAGCGATAACAAGTTGCAGATGTCCGCGCATGTTGGCCCACTAATGGACTCAGAGGAGTGCGAAATAGCGTAAAACTCGGCAAAAAACCAAAAAAAAAGCTGGTGACGATGCAGTCTTGTATTATCGAGTACGGCTGATATGCGAACGGCGGAGCGCGTGACCGACGATACATGCCTCGCTATTGCGAGGCAATTAGGAACTGACAAAACTACATTTTGGAAAGGGGTATGCGAGATTGCGCGCCACTCTGATGTGCACAGCCTCGCAGTTAATCTCTCCTCTTCGCAGTTTATTCAGTTCCTAGTCGCCTCTAGGTTGCGCAGCATGTATCAAAGACCACACGGTCCGCTGTTCGATTTTTGTTTCTATCCGATAGTGCACCAGTTTCCGAAAAAAATATGATTCAATGTTAGAATTACTTCGATCAGAAAATAATCCAAAATAGCACTGGATTACTCTAATTAATTGAGTTAACAAGTATTTTCTCATTACCACGAAAGATAACCCATATCTTTCCCATTACTAATTACGCAAGCTGTCTGGCTCTGCTTAGTCGATTCCGTTGAGAAAAGGAGGTTAATGTGATCGACAATAGCTGAAATGGAAAGTTTCAAATTGGTATGGTTGACTTTTCACTCCATCGTACAGCCCAGGTACTTTCGATACTGCATTTCAATTGCAAGCTAAAATGCAGCGCGGCAAAAGCTGAGGATCGAGGTCACAGCCCTGGCAGTTCTGTCTTCTACGCGAAACATGGTGGGAGAGATGTGCGTCCTTGAGTGAAGAACGTCCACTTGCAGATTTTTCTGCGGCATATCTTAATGGGACACGAAGTATGGAACAAGGCACTAAGGCGAGATATTCACCACCTTGATTGAATGTCAATTTATAGAATTACAAGATTGGTTCCTACAGAAATCGTTCCAATTAAATACCGGGTGTTTCATCCAAGGTTTTGAAAATCAATAAAAAGAGGGTGGCTGAAGGAAAAAAGAAAAATAGCACTTTCGGGAACGAGGTGCCAACTACGTCGGATATCATAGATTGGAAAAACACATGCTAATTAGTTGTATATTCATCTAAAACGGAGTAATTCAGTTTTTATATAAGTCGAAATAAACATAACGTGTGAATCACAACCTGTCTGAACATTATCAAAGACCACCAAACCTACTTATTTTAGAAAGAAATAAAGCAAAAACTGCATTCTACGGCGTTCAAAAAAACGCTCAATTTGGACGAATTTCTAGTCTTCGTTGCCGTATGTGAGCGGATCTTAGCGCCAGTTGTCTTGAGCAGACAACCTAGAATGTATTCGTCTATTGTGACTGACAGAACAAGAACGGCAGGTAAAAGTATCAATTGTCCCGCCTTCAGCGCGCGCTTCATATCTCCGATGATGCTCGCACGTCTCGAGAACCTCGAGCGTGCAAGCGCAGTCAAAGCACGATAGAAGGCAACGAGGGCTTGGGGGAGACTTGGCGTTCGAAAGGGACCCCTTACCATTCTCACATTGACAGTGATCAACACACCCATGGTTGTGGGGATCAATGACAAGGCGCTGTCGAATTGCATTTAACTGTACAGAGTTTAATGCAGTTTAACAGTGCCTAGACAAGTATCTGACCGACGGGAAAAAGGTGCAGGGAAAAAGACCTTAGCAAGCTGGGAGGGATCTGTAAAGTCTTTAAGAGATAAGAAAAGATCACGAACTAAAGAATAACCGAAGACGTAAGCAGGTCAGCTTAGTTTCCCAAAAGCGAAGGCTCGGAATCTGTATTAAAAAAACGAAGAAAACATCAATCTGAACGTGTTGTGTGCGTTCGACCCTAAGTTTTTTTTCTTGTTTACAGGCTCTTAAAATGCATCCAAAAAGCTTATGCTTACTGGAAAACGTCACCTAGACAGCATTATCTTTAATAATTAGCGTCCCAGGTGTACTGCGCGCCTTTGAGTTCAGCTTTGTTTGTGAGAATAAGCTTATATTCTGGATAGAAAAAGTTTAGGGGGGAAAGGGGTTGTGAAACTTCTCGTTGTCCCTTTTCTGTGGTTCGCTCACCCACTGCGTCTTACTGCATATCGCAATGTTCGTGACAATCACTATACTTCTTTATATTACCGTAATGCATTTATCACCACTGGCAAACGTTTTTTTTTTTTTAGTGGTAAGTTAAAGGTACGTCGCGAAGCTTAAAAGTCTATGTTGAAAAAAGAATGGCCGAATTTGTAGAAATACTGACGGATTCTATTATTTTAATTACTTACAAAACTACAAAACTACATATACTCTGGAGGAAAGTAACATGAATCTTATGACTAACAGGTGGCTCGAACAGCCGTCCAAAAATTTGACAGCACGTCGCTAGTGCACGGGAAAGTATTTGACACAAGGTTTAAAGACGAACGCGCTAGACAATATACAACCGAGGGGCATTCTCAAGGCATGCAGGGTTTTTCTAAAAAACGTTGAGAGAGTTTTCGCAACGCACATAAAAGCAGTGCATTATATATATATATATATATATATATATATATATATATATATATATATATATGCAGGGTGTCACAAAAAAAATTACTGGGGTTTTTTCCCCTGCAAAACTAAACTAGGCATCGCCGAATGCTCAGTCTCCTCCCAGAGGTAGCACTAGAAGTCGGAACCATATGCCAAAGTTTCAGCCCAATCCGATACTTTATTCAAAAGTTATAAGCGATTTTCTGAAAATTTCAATGGAAATGGGAGCCCATTTTTGTCCGTTCTCCGTTTCTCGTGCCCATAGAGCCCCATGTATTCCAAAACTCCGTCGGCCGCCATTTTCCAATTGAAATTTTCAGAAAATCACTTTTAACTTTTAATTAAGGCATCGGATAGGGCTGAAAGTTTCGCATCTGGTTGTGACCTCTAGCGCTTCAATCGGCCGGAGAATGAGCGTTCGGCGACGCCTAGTTTGATTTTGCGGTTAAAAAAAAAAACTTTTTTTTTTTACACTTTGTATATAACGATGAAACTTCACTGCAAGGCAGCCACAGCGATATATGCAGATTCTAGCGACTTTTAGTTGACGGTCTCAGGTGCGGAACGAGGAGTCGGGGCTGTGGCTCGCTGATCACAAAACCCCGAGGAAGCAGGCCTGAAGTGGAAGTAGTGAAGTCGGACCTTCTTTACATGCAGTGAATGTGCAAGTCGGTGGTCAACATTTAAATCCGGCGTTCTTTGAGGTCTGTGAGCTCCCGGTATATAGCGCTCCAAAGGCGAGAAAGCCCACCGAGAGAGTGATGCCTTCCCCAGAGTCCGAATGTTTATTAGGTGTTCGCGGCGCGGGCGAGGCTGACGGAATTGCTGTTTTTTTTGTTGTTTTTTTTCCGGCGAGGTGCAAGTTATACGACCTGTAGCCGCTCCTGCCATGCGCCGGTAACCGTTCTCAGCACTGCGCGGAGTCTGATGCAAGGCGCCAGTGCTCATGCCGCTCGCACGGAGACACAACACCGACACATTCAAGTGCGCGCACGCCGGCGCATTTTCTAACGAGGGCTGGCGCTCCCAGGTCGTCTCTTGTAAAACCCCTGGACAAAAGCGTTTTTTACAAGTACCGCCAACCATTTTTGTGGAAACGCGCAAGATACGTGCCACGAGCGGGTCCTACGCCGCCATTCGCTTCCAGGGGCCGCTCATTTCAGTGCTGCGCCGCCATTTGCTTCCAAGGGCCCCTCGAGACACGGTCCTCGTGCCCTTGCGCATTTGACACTGCTTGCAAGACAAACACGCACACATACAGGGGATTCAGTCTCGTGGTTCCCAAAAGACGTTCTTTTAGAGAATGTAAAACTCGCGGAAGGCCTCGACCCACTTGATGCTTGAACACACGATTCTGCATCCCCGGAACAGGGTAGAGTGTTCCCGTTTGCTCTTTTCTTAAGTGCTCTCAGAAACTTAACAAGACGCAAAAGTTTCTCTCGCAATACCGAACAAAATATCTTAAAACATTAGGGAAGCGGTTTTTCAAAGATAACAAATCTGGAGAAAAAGGCCTCTACCAACAGCACGCTTAGGCCGACTAGTTCTAATTGTCCATTATGGATTGCAATAGCCTTCAGTTTCACTCAATGACGTATACACGTTTATTCTACCCTTACGGAGTATCATTCAATGGACATCCAGCGTCATCTATGAGTTCTGGTGTCAAGCAGCCGGACTACGTTGGCTATGCAACGGAGGAGTGTCTCTTAAATGTTTCGTCTTTCGATTCGGGTAGCGCGCGTTGGGCTGAAACTTCTGCATCTGGCCTTCCCAGCCCGGTCTCTCTATTTGAGGGGGGAGGGGAGGGGGGAGCTTCCACGTCAGACGATGAGCGATTAATTGGTTTGCTATACTTCGTTTCACTCCAAGTCTCACCGAAGCCGACACTATGAGCCGACGGAGTCAATCAAGCTTCACCAAAGTTTTATTGTTACGACGCTCATCGCCTTTTCTGTGTTTGCTACTACCCGATAAACAAATTACTCGTAGCGAATGTGCCGCGATTTTACGCTTTCTTCTGTGCCCGTTTAATTGAGCTGGCAGAAGCACGCCTCAAAAGACGATGAGAACTCTGACAATGCACTTTTGGCTCCAAACCCCATGCAAAGAGCAAGTTCGTCTTTTTTTTTTTTTTTTTTTTTTTTTTTGCAGGGGTTTTGGTGACGTCAGCACACCGAGCTTTGGGCTACGATTGAAGGATAGTGGATAGACCTTAAGGCGGATTGCTTTCCGGTCTACCCACTATCCTTCTATCAGAGCCAGTCAGCGCGCGGCGTTTTGACGTCACCAAAACCCCAGCAAAAGAAGCAGACGAACTTGCGCTCCGCATAGACTCTACCAGATCGTAGCGTCGAATGCGGTCCGACCTAATTTAAAATGGAGTACACACAAAGAAGCCTGAACATTTTTTCTTGCCGTGGGACGGCGGGAGACGGCACAGCTCTTTAGTTTTAGTAGCAATACAAAGCAGGACTGTGTGCACGTCAGTTTATTCGGCTTTTTTTCAAGGTCGGGTGCGGCGTTGCAAGTGAGCTGTAAGGCGAGCCATGGCCGCCTGCTCCTTTTCTCCGACGTGGTTGACGGAAACCACCCCGGCAACACTCCTGCTCCTTTCGATCAGCCCGGCTCCCAGCTTGTCAATATCTTCACACAGGCGGAGCCAGGCATCCGCTGGCGCAGTAGACCCGTTGTCTTCCAAGTAGTACATCCCTGACTTAAGCTTTACGATAAGCTCCAATATATTCACCGCGACTTTGAGAAGTACTTCAGCATTGTCGTACACCCAGTGGGCAAAAGCTTGAACACCCTGCCACAGCCCGCCCCAAAAACCATATTCTGAAACCTGTAAAAAAACCAAAAAGAAGTTCCAGCACATGTCACAATTGGAGTTTAAAGTCGGACACAACATTTGTTAATCAAAACTAAAAACACTTACGTGTTTTACGATACAAATGTACAAATGCTTCCTGATCTCCTTATATATATCCCTGCTCTAACTAGCTAACCGATGACGTTTAGGGGGTGTGGGGATTGCTGGAATGGCTCAAGCCTTGCCATCTAGGGAGTATCGACTCTCGTCTGCAGTCTCAGTGGTATCAAGAGTTTCTTTAATATTCTTAAAACTATTTCTTTTGTTTCGAGCAGTCCTGTCTTGTATCTTGCTCGCTCGTTCCCTGATAAGACTCGGGGGTCGCCTTAGTCGGCGCCTGGGGTTTGAGGCCTGGCGTCTGAACAGCACCAGGCACAACCGGGGTGGGCAAACGTGCCGGTAAGGACTTTTTTTATATATATAAAGGTCACACCAATCGGTGAAACCTCCAACTGCGGTTGGCGTCTGGGAGGAGAGTTGCACTATCTCTTGTGAGTTGCGAAGAAGACAGAAGAGGTAGCGAAACTCTGCTTTGGGACGCCAGCAGTTTTTTTGAGTTTTCGGCTTCGCGAGAGAATAACCTGCGAAAATTGCAGACCTCGTCTTCAAAGACGTATATTCTCCTCTCGCGGACGAGCTTACGCGACACTTGATAGATAAATTTTCTAGACAAGGTCACCAGCACATTACCTTTCCGCCCAGTCGTTCTTTTTGTTTTTATCGGTTTTTTATAGGTTTCATTCTTATACGTTTTACATACTTACCCGGTATTTTCATTGTTTATTTCTTGATTTGTATAGCAAACATAGCTAACATCCGACACGTCCTGCATCAACATTCCACAGCTAAAAAAGCGTGAGTGTCGTAACACTTCGGGTCAAGCGGGGGCGCTGTAAAATCCGGTCTCTGATAACTTTCCTTGGCTTACCACCATTAGCTTAATGTTATTCCATTGTAATCTGTAGCTGTAAACTTCCAAACAAGCAAGGTTCTTTTAAGCTCTTATTTTTTACAGAACATGTATTCGTCGCTAAACGTTAATGTACTGTGCATTAACGTGTTAGATGCCCGCAAGAATCAAACTTACGAAATGCTCGTTCACACCTACCTCTGATGACCACACGAGGAAGCAGTTCAAATTGTTCGAAGAAACCACGGCTTAACTTTTGACAAGCACGGTAATCGGACATGTTAAAAAGGATATTTTATTTCTCAAAAAATCCTCACCTCATCGTCGAAAGCAGCAATCCGACCTTCTTCCTCAACAGCGGTCCTAATTATGTGGCTCATCTCTCGGAGAAGCAGACCTATCATTTGTGTGTCGTTTCCTATTTCAAGATTAGCTTCCGCAAGGTATTCGCTCAGAACATCATTTTCGTCATTGCCAGGGTTATCCTTCTTCGACACTATAAATAAACACAAAGGTTACGCCAAGTTAGCCACAAGCATTTCCAGTTATCATCAAGCCCATTCTTTTTGTATATGGGGCGACCTGTAAAAAAAAAATAGCTTGCGCAGTTCTTTTTTAAAGAAATATCAACACTATTTTGAGTTTAATGCTCAGGACTAAACCCAAATAAGTATTTAGGCCAGAGTGTTCTTTTGAGTATTCACAATACAAGATTACACAAGCAAGGTCCTCGGGAGACAGCATTTTGTTCAATATCATTACTTTTAAAATAAATCGACTGGTGGAAACTGTAAGCCCAGTTTTAACTTATTACAATCGCAAGACTCATTATTTATGTAAGGCAAGGCATAATGATAGTCAAAGATATAAATTTGTTTTAGCCGAAATGATAAAAATGCGATCATGGTTGGTTGTAAGAGATAAAATTTCCGTTCTAGAATAATAAACTGAAGCGCGTTCAACACACTCAACCAATCGTTAGCAGGTCTAAGTATGCCTCCATCAACTCAAAGATATATCTATTGTTTGGAAAGACTTACCTGCAGATGACGCCAAGCCAACTGACATTAGGGCCAGTGCCAAAACCGTTAGACGCTTCATTTCTGCAGAATCCAGAGCCTCTTCTCAATTTCCGAACCTTAACGGTGAAATATAGCTCTAATGTTTTCTCACTTCTAGCAAGCACAGTTCGTAAGTGAACCTCTCTCTTCGAACGCTTGCTTTTTGCAACAGCGCCCTGGAATTCTGCTTGGAATCTTCTATCTGTTTTGTGCTACCTTTCTTATCAATGCTTATGTCAGAAGTGATAAGCCAACCCAAAATGCAAAAACACAATGGCTTTGTTTATTCGGCTCCATGACCTTAGCAGGCGCATCATACAGTCGCAAATGTTACTAGATAAAAATGTTGTGTTGCACAATTAGTTCTATGTGTCATCCACAAAAAAAAAAAGAAATACACGACACACCTTTTTGTATTATCATTTCCCGCGTTTTCCGCAGTCATAGCCGCACACAAGTAATTCATTATGGCTAAGAGTTCCTCCACACTATATGTTTCTCAAGCATTGCAAATATATGAACTTAGGAAACAGAATCTGTTAAAGTGAGTGAGCCGAAGCTCTAATTCCCTTTATGAAAACAACTGAAAGCCAGCGGAAGCTGAGATTATTGTAATCTAGATATTTCTCACATCGCTTACTAATTGCAAGGTTTTGTCCCTGCTGTAGAGGAGCACTTGATGCTCTTTATGAGCGCTATGTAAAATATCTGCGATTATTATATAGAATACAACACCGCTTGAGTGTAACTGAATAAAAGCAAGATATCTCGTTCACACCAGATATCTAGTTCATCCCTTCAAACACCATTGTATAGCCGCGGAAGATAAGTATGTTTTTGATTATAAAAATAATTTTTCATAACACAGCTGACTAAACCCGCTAATAGAGTATTCGCAGAAGTAATTCATTGAGACAAATCAAGTTGCAGCAGTTAGTAACAAGGATCACCGTTATTATTAAAACTCAAATTACCCTTCTCTCGATCTATATCATTTCAAAGGACACCAACGACCGGACACAAAAGGCATCCAATAAGATGCATTTATGTTCAACGGCACGGTATACACCTTGTCCTGTGTGCCTCTCTTCTCTGTCCTCGTTTTTCTGGCGTATTTCCCATCAGGTATCTTCCCGTGTACGTGGAGAGAGACCTTAGTTCAAATAGTATGTGGAGAAACCTTGCCGTTATCTGTACAAACGGCAAAGATAACGTATGACGTTCACCTTTTTTTTTTTTCTTGAAACGTATTTTCGCGCAGCCGAACAACCAAGGCTGAACTCCCAAACCTATTGTCATCCACCAAAATAGAGGACATAACGTAGATATCCTACTGTTACTAAACAATAATTGTTTATTCCGACTTTCGGTCTTGGCTGATGGAGCAAAAAGCGAGCTAAAGCAACCTGGCATGGCTCCCAAAATGGTCCACAAATCTCAGCAAAAAATAACTAAATATCGCAAGAAAACGAACGTTAGAATAACCAATCGCAATGACAGAATGCCTGCAGTCATATCAACATCATATATCACGGAATGCCATAGGAAAACTTTATGTCAATGCATGCTGACACCCATCTCTGCATGTCAAAAAAATTCAAATTTTATGTAATATTTGTTTAATGCGGATCAAAAAGAAATAACGGATGAGTCAAACCTTCAACTACTAAAGCACACTAGAGTTACTGCGAGTTCAAAAAAACGCCGGGCGTACCATGTCCCGAACTGTCTTTTTTTATCACTTTACGGCCATTGAGATTCCGGCATGAGCCGAAAAACACGTCAAGGGACGAATCTCGAAGCAAGAAGTGCAACCGTCCTGAGTCACGCACTTTTATTTCTTAAGTTATCAGTGCCTATGACCAGAGTCCTTCAATACGATAAAGGTCACAAAAATTCGGCCAAAGGTTTGTACAGGTTTTACAGCGTCCTCCAGTATCACTACTATTCTAGTGCGGGCATTATCGTTTGGTCACCCCACTTACAGTGAACCACCCCGAATTCTCGATCACACGAAGTTTTCGAAAAAAAAAAATCTCGTTACGTCTATATGTGATGACTGTATGCACGCTCCGATCATTCTTTATTGATTTCTAACAGCAGTTCTTACAAATAGGCTCTTCTCAATTTTTTTAAACAAAACGATGTTTTGCCTGCAAAATAAAAAAAGTCAGGCAGCTGAGTGTATATGCACTATGGGCCAAGACGCGAAGAAAAACGTAGTAACGGCACGTTGTTCCTCCCTTCTACTGAAGAGCCCCCCCCCCCCCCCCCCCCCCCCCCCCCCCCCCGAGCGGACGCATAAAAATAAAGTTAGGAGCGATTCTTTTTTTTTCTTTAGGCAGACGGCCGGAAAGTTCTTCTCTCTTGCCTCATCTTCTTTCGTTCGTTTCTCAACACCGGCGAACCCGTTTTTTTCTTTTCTTTTTTAATAAGCGCGGTACCGATTGCTGCTTGCAATTCAGTCTCGTAGTCCAAACACGCAAAGACCCTCGGTTGCACTGACGCTTTGATCTCTACGTTTTGTCGAACGAGCAAACGAAGCCGTTAGGAACAGCGAAGTCGCAGAGAAGTGCCAGCAGTGCTACGTACACTGGGCCGAAAAGGCCGCATACAAGTCAGGCAGGTTTTTCTGCCAGGGAGGTTATAAGTACTAGGAGGGGGCACATTGCAATATTGGTGAAGCCTAGTCATAAAAAGTTTAGTGCGCGTGACATGTCACGTGCGAGATGGATGGTTGATTGTAGGAGGATTATCTTGCAGGGCTTGGGCGCGCTCCGTCCGGTAGGTTTTATCAGATCGAAGGCTAGACGAAGGCTAGCTATGGTAACGTGATGTGGTCATGTTGGGCTGATAAGTGAGGAGAGTAAGGAGGAAAATGAGAAAGAGGCGAGGCGTCAAGGGAGCATGGCTTGTGGAGGCTACGTGGCTGACGTCATGCCCTCTCCTATCCTTCTATTCTCCTTGTTTTCTGCCGGGTGTCTGCACGTCTTCTGCGCCGGGTTTGGGTCTGTTTCCTGTTACGGAGATCCATCACACGATAAACGTGGTTCTGTAGATTAACGTAGAAGTTTGACCTAATTGGTATGTAGTCATAATTATAAAAAATAAAATGGCGCAAAGACGACGGCAGTCTTAAATGTAAAAAATAAAAGGTGTTCTGCCGGTTAACCTTTGCTTTGTCCTCGTCTTTGCGCTGTTTAGTTTTTAATTGTGATTCTGTACTTTCGTGAGTCACCAACATCATCATAGCAGCGTTGTGAACTGTAAACGAGGTCTGGAATCGTCGTCAATGTTTCCGAGTGTTTTGCGTACCATTCGTGTAACAGCGAGACGAGATAATGTGTACGGTCGCATGTTGACATTCTGCTTTGCATTAAAGAGTTCAATAAGACCGTTTAGCGATTATAGTGCACTCGATCGACCAGCGGAAAGTCATGTTGAAACGCTGGTCTGAAAAGTAACTACTATCGTATAGTGACCGATGTAACTGTCGTCTGCAATGTCCAGTTGTCCCCTCTTCGAGAGCGATTGGGCTTTCAAAGAAGGGCTGAACATGCTTGAAGTATGTTGGAAAGGAAGCACGTGCCTGTATTTATATTTACAGTATGAAATATTATCATTAAAGGAAATCAGACAGGACGACTAATGTTTTGCTAGCCAAATGTACTTTCTGTTTTAGCCGGGTATTTTTTCTAGACATTCGGCTTGTAGCCAGCCGAGCCCACAAAACCTACCTTTCACCGTTCTAGGTTTTCATTTTTGATTTTCGTACTTAACCGTTTTCGAATCTGCATATCGCTGGTGAAGGGCACATGTTTTTGAACTACCTCAGGCTCTTCAGCCCCTTGGATCAAAACCGCGTTTGTGCTTTTTATTTCAGTTAAATTGATCCCCGGATTGTCGGTATACAGCTCAAAGCGCGCTTCAATCCCGAGTGTGCATTTTACAGTCCTCTCGTCGATGCCGAATTCATGAGCTCTTTACGTAAAAGGCTTACCGTAGAAATAATGCACTAAACATCGGTCAGAAAGTATTAACTTGGAACACCGAGTGCTCCGCGTCATTGATGTCGCTCTGTAAATATGCCAGAGCCACTGGGCAAAACAACCGGTCATTATATGTTTTTCTTTTCTTCCGCCGACGATGTGTAATCTGGTAGAACATACTTACTTAACTATGCAAGTTTCTCCACCATTTGCTAGTTTTCAAACGCATCGCGGCGCCGCAAGCCATACACAATACTTGCAGCAAATCGTTGCTTTGCTCGCATTCATTTTGGTGGAAAAGCGGCTTCGCAGCCCGTGAAACATTCTTTCCAGCTGCTGAGTGAATACCCCCTTCACAGAAGTTAAATCATGACGACCACTGCCGTCCCTGCCCCACGCGAGCAGAAACTGGCGTCTCTCAAGCCATCCTACTCCGTGCTTTGACGGGAAACCAACGCAGGGCTGTTATGAAATGGAGCGGAGCGTGGAGTTTTATCGGTTGTCGCCAATATCTAACGTGAACGTTTACTTTTTACTAGGAGATTCATCCCTTATGCCGTTCAAAATACCTTCTGAGGAATGGCATTACTAAGACACAATCGACATACTGGCAACACTATTTATTGCATAGATGATCATTGAGAACACCCGTGCCTTCGAAACAAGTAAGGCGGAAGCGCAGTGTACGAAGTCAGTGATAGGGTAGTCTGTGTTCAACTTGATCGTTTTATGTGCTCTGTATGTCTATGATCTCGCGGTATTTAAACTCTACTGTATCCCATGTTGTGGTGCGGGATCTGGTGTGTTTGTATAATTAAACTGTCTAAATCACAATAGCAAAAACACTTTTTTTTGGTTGCCAATGAATTTCACGGTGCCTAGCGACACCTAGCCTAGAAATTTCCAAGTACTCTGCCTGTGCCTGCCAACTGGTGGATCGCGATTTTACGTTCCTTCACACTTTGTGATAGTTCTTGGATCATTCAATGAGCCAAGTAGGCTGCTCTGAATTGGCTCTTTCGGGCACGGCTTTTGGTTTCGCTAATAGTTTGCCACTCCTCTTTGACGTGCGCTGCTAACCAAGGAACACTGCACGGTGCAGTGACCGGGTTTTGGTTGTCTCTGTTGAACATCGTAGTGTTCATCACAAAAAGACTGAGTGACTGCGTTCATTTCCTTACCTTTGCGGGAAGACGGTTTCGGCAATAAATACAGTTCAGCTCGTACGCCTTATGTGTTCATGTGCTACAGCTCTCGCTCCGAAAGCAGAGAATTGTTTGGATGTGTGCAAAACGGTTGACTGCGTTTTTCGCGACAGCTGATTAGCAGGCCTGATGGGCCGCCCGCGGTGCGAGGCATTTGCCTGTCCGAAAACTATGCTAGCCATTTGGTTGCATTGTGGCTGCGTTCAGCGTAAACACCGGCAATATCCGTAGTGTCCTGGCCTCCTCGTTAAGCCTTACTGAGCTCGATTCAATCGATTCAGAGCCGTCATACTGCTATGCAGACGAGGGACGAACGTTGTCGTTTGTAATGGAATATGGGGACAAGACGGTCTCTTCCATTTTAAAAAAAAAAAATTATATATACACTTCCTTCTTTACGTGCGGGTTCGTTGTGCCTTTTCGTGATGGCGCTACTCCCGGCGCAGGGTTTTACGGGTATAGCGGTATTAACATGTCAAATTAAGCTAATAAGAAGTCATGATTTTTCGCATAAAAAGAAGTTTGAACAGTTCACTAAGCGTACAAAGCTGAAGACGCTTACATTAACGAGAAACGCTGCTCGTACGATGATGCGTCACCGCGATCTGCTGGGTGTTCATTTGGAATACGTTTAATATTACCATCTGACTTTTTGGTTGCCTGACTCCCAGCAGTGCTGGCTAGATTGGCGGCTCTTAGACACCTTTTGTCGACGCTAGCGCCACGCGCGTTAGCGTACCAAACTCTCCCAGACGCTACGAAGACGTTTTGTGACCAGTAACGAATTGAAATACTCTGCTATAACCCTACTCCGAAACCCAATCTGAGTTTTCGCTGTCTGCATTATGGAAGATGACATCTTAGTGGATTTTATCTGGATTTCAGGTTCCCAGAAATTATTTTTTTTTTTTGCAATCTGTATTTCAAGTTTCCACAAACAACTCCATTTAAATTCCTCGTTTCGTAATCTACATAGCGAAAAAGCTATATTGGGTTTTGGGTATGAAACTGAAATCCGACGAATAATATACATTACTTCTTAAAATTCTGATTTTATTTAGCATTCATAATTGTATATACATATATATATATATATATATATATATATATATATATATATATATATATATATATATATATATATATATATATATATATATAGGGTATTTCAGAGAACGCAGGCCAAATCGCTCCTGCGAAAACTATACTCATCGCAACGAAAAAAGGCTTGTGGCGTTTTGGTCCTGGGCCAGGGAATTTAAAATGACAGGGAAAAAAAATTGGAAAATTATTAAAGTCCGGGATCATTAAGTTGTTAATTATTTTTGCGTAATTAAGTTTTTTAATATTGTGTTTAAATTAGAAAATTGCTCAGCATCATCGAAAAACACTAAATCAACAAATTGCAGAACTATAAAAGGCACGCGAAGCATTTTACCGCTTTCTGAAAAAACCCCACGAAATTGACGGATTTTAAAGTTTCGGTTTGCTATCGGAGGGCATCTCGGCCCGGGCGGCATCGCGCCCCGTGAAGAGATAGTGCAACCAGCCTCTGCTGCGTCGCGCGATGACAGTAGTTTTCGCAGGAGCAATTTGGTCTGCGTTTTCTGAAACACCCTGTATATCATCTGTCGTGTACACGGGGCCCAGAAATAAGTATAAAGTATTATATTTTGTTTTTGTTACTATACATCACGTCCTTCTTGTTTACATCGTGGATAGTATGTTACGCAGCATTGTATTAGAGAAACAAGCAAATTATCAATTTTGTAGTCCTACGAAATACAGACCTTAGTTTTACTGTATAACCAAAAAGAATGTATGTTGAATGCAAGCCCAATCTAGTAACTGAGAGCTTATAAAAAAAAAAAAAAAACGCAGAGCCTGGCGAGCTTTTATCTCCTTAATACTGGTCCGGGGTTATTGAGACCAAGCAAAGATCAAGATGCATAAACATGTTAAGCCACGCCGGGCGCTTCTTGAGCTGTGAGTAAGTGCAGTATATTTCTTAAACAATCCTTAACTTGCTGTTCATACCTCTAAACGCAAACATTACATGCAGGGTGTTTTATTTTAATTCGAAAAAAATGTATTTAAAAGCGATACAAACAAAAACCGTGAAAACTACGCTAAGGCGGTCTGTGAAGCCCAGTTATACGGTCATGGGGGACATTTACTACGGGATTCAATTGCCGCGATAAGTCTAAGTATTCATTAAATTTTCTTAAGCATCTTTTAGCAAGGGTAACGAAGCATGTTGTTCTAACGACGAACGTGCTGAGCGTCGTCGCGAACCACTACATCTGCCAGTTTCTGGAAACTTTTGGAGCACGTGGGAATCACAGTAGCGCGCCAAAGTTACCACTCGCGCAACAGGCGCAAAGTCTGGCGCTGGTAAAAAAAGGCGGACGATGATCTTATCATCCGTGCTTTCCCGCCGTGGTCCTTGCCCCGGTTGCTCAAGGGCTAGCTTCATGCGCACCACCGCTGCTCCCACGCGCTTTAATTCCCTCTAAAGTTTACCAATTTAGCGGTTTTCCTTGACGCTCAGCGAGTTTGTTATTGAAACCGTAAGTATATTTTAATAAGAAGAGAAAGAATAAACATAGGGAACGTACCTGTGTTTATTCTTTCTGTACTTATTTAACTTCACCAACGCGCTCACGTCGAACTAAGTATATATAATAATAATTAAAATTTTTATCAACAAATTGTAGTTAACTATTTCACTTATCGTGACAATTCGTCCCCCCGTACTATATCCCTCTGAATATAACTCGCCTGCACAAAGCGCAATATTGCGTTTGTGTGACTTTGTTTTTATGTAACTATGTTTGAATTGAAGTCAAACACCCTGTATATTGTGATATTAAGGCTTGCCGTTTGTAAAACCCGGTAAAACTGTTTGATACCTCCTTTTGCGTGATGCTGACAAAAGCAAAGCAAGGTAATAAATGACAATTCTGTGCACACAAAAAATGCGCATCTGGAACAAGACGCAACTGGTATGTAGAAAATGGCCTCATAACTGACGCCCTTTAGTTGAAATCGGTGGGAATAAAATCGCGAGCCAGGAATTGGAAGTCGCCCGCCCTCTAAGATAAGAAAGGGTGACAGCCAATTCATACGACGCACCGCTTTGTAAGCGGCCATTTTACGCGAAATCACGAATTAATATATTTTGATGGTTACTTGTAATTAATGGCAACGAAGTCTCAAAATTATTAATTTTTATATACCCGTCTCCGGACAGATCAGTTAGAAAAACTTATTTTTCTGGAAAGAAAAAAAAAACGAAAAGTAGATATTTATAGAAACGCAATCATCTAGACGTATAATACCCTTTTACGGTGATTGAGATTTGTTTACTTTCATAGGGTGTATCAACCGAAGGATATCACATCTCTTTGTACTATTAAACTTTTTGGCCCGATTACGTAAAAATGAATTATGCAACGAGAGAAACAAAATATTCGACACGTGCATTTTGTAACCACGCCCTTTATTTTATCTTAAACGCTTTCCCACTTTATGATTTCACGCGCGTGCAGACTTTCTTATTTCAATAATTATGCATTTAGATGATAGCAGAAACAGGTCACGCAAGCCAAGTCTGATGGGAATCTTGAGAAAAATGTCAAAAATGCGATGTAACGTCTTTTGTTTTCCTTAGTTTTCGGCTTATTCAGAACTTGTTTCATTTTTGATTCTTTCAAATTTAAATGTATCCACGCAATCCCAGAGATACTTCTTATCAAATTCCGTGAGTCCGTCCTCGATTATCATTCCATCGCACATCTCGATGCCTTCCTGAATAAGGCTGGCGCCTAGCTGGTGAATGTCGTCGGATATAACGGAGACGAATGTGCTAAACTTCTCGACGTCTTCAAATACGTTCTTGCTCATCTTTTCGAGGATGATCGCCATCATTGTGTCCTTGGCAGTTTTCATGCCTTCTCCAGCCGGAATTGTATGTTCAAGCATTTCTTTCGCTCGGTTCACCATGCCTTTTATCTCCTCAATGGTTTCCTGCGCATGCAAATGATACGCAACACAAAACATGTCACGCACACAAATAAAAAAATAATTTTTTTTTATATTTATCTGTTTTTGTAATAGAAATAAGAAGTGTTTGCTTATACAAAACGTAATATTATAAGAGGTGTGCCAATATAGCTTTCAACTGAATAGCTCTACGGCATCTGTAGAGTTAATACTTTCAATGGAGACAGTGTGCCGTGGCCTTTTCTTGCAGAGCGAACACTAAAAGTGGCGTAGTACTACTCCATTGGAACCCCTACTCGCACACCCATTGTTAGTATTTTCTAAATTTCCGTAGACAAGAAAACATATATTTACGTCACAGCTAACTTTTGTACGAACCAAACACCACCTTATTAAAGAAATTGGAGCCAAAAGACGGTATGCCATTTACCACAAATAACGCCTCAAAGTGAAGATTACGTGCCTCCCTGGCTCACAGTTTTTGCAGGAATGCCTTTTAATCCAGTTACGTCTTTATACTGTTTGGTTTGCACAGGGATATTTGAAACCCCGAAAACAAAGGAACTTTATTCATCCAGACTGTATTAATGTATTTTATCTGTGTACGCGTGCAGCGTTTTTTTTTTTTTTTTTTTGTGTGTGTGAAAAGGATATGGTTTAATTTACTCATTAAGCTCAAAATAGCCCCTGGAACCTCTTCACGTTTAAGCACAACTATTGAAGCTAAACCGGTGTACAAAACATTACTATTTCTCCAAAAGATAATATTGAAAGTTGTATAACTCCGAAGCGCACGACGCGGAAGCGCCGACGGGAGAACGCCCGACACGAGAGTGCCGCGGCACGAGAGCTTGTACTATTAGGTCGCGCGACAAGAGAGAGCTCAACCGGTTAATCGCACGTCGTGGAAGCGTATGTGCGCGCCGTCAAAAGTTTCGAGGAGGGCATTCACAACTATACAGCTACCTAAAATGTAATTCCTCAATAAAGAAGGCAGCATTCAAGTGGTCGTGTTCCGCCGGCTCAATGCAATGGTTGGGACAATTTTGTTGGCGTATTTTTGGAAACTGCTTTCAGAAACTGTGAACATGATGATATCTCGTCTTATATTTTTACCAGCCAAACATTTATTTGAGGGTACTTGCTGGTGTTTCCAAGCAACGACTTGAAACTGCCCCAAAGGTTAGCCAATATATGGTCATCACCAGATGTTGATCCAAAATTGCAAACAAATAGTCCCATTTGACTATTAATAGCCAAATATACTAGCCTTTTTTCGACATTAATAAAGAGAGGAAAAAAAAATTCATCGACAAAATAATTCCATACAAAATTGTCCCGTACAGAATTGCGTACCGAGATGAAGTTTAGAGCCTATGGTTGCATTCGGCCATCTTTTTACGAGTAAGTTCGTCCTGCATGCGGCTGCAATTGCCAGTCTAAAAAAAAGAGAAAAACAACAACATTGACGTCGATGTTACAACCCAAGCATCTTCCCCAATAGCGCTGTCGGGACACGTGCTGAACTGGTTGAGCGTTATCGTGTCGGCGCGCTCTACCTTCGGCACTCTCGCATCGTGAATCCTCGAGGCGCTCTCCCAATGTTGAATACACTCTAAACGTAATAAACAAGAGCCTAGTTCAGTTACGTACTTTGTCGTTCAGGCAGGCCTGCTCGCTCAGGACCTTATTCAGACGATTCGAAAATTCCTTGAGAACCTGACCCATGCGCTGCGTTTCTTCCCCCAGAGTAAATCGCACCTTTTTGGGATCCATTATGGCATTGTCCTCAGGTGTCCCTTTTGAATTTGTCGGAAAAAGAAAAAAAAAATGAGTTGTCATTGCGAGAGGGTTGTTTTATTGTTGTGACATCCCCGGTAGCAAATATGCGTATAGATGATTAAATAGAGATGCCAGGCTAAATCTAAAATCAGCGTTATGAAAAACCTTACATCACCCTGAAAACAGCATTCTGTGAAGCTTTGTTTGCGGACGCAATAGGCTCCTTCTTTTATTATAGAGTGAAAATTTAGTATGAAGAGTTAATGTACAGTACGTACACCTGTCCTATACAACGTCCAGCCCCACTCACCTGTTGTTACAGTTGTATCGTTTCTGAAAATAAAGTGAACGATCATAAATAAATTAAAAGACTCTATAATTTACGTAAAATTATTGTATAAATATTTTCTTCTACTAATTGATGCCGGCGTATTTGATACCAAGCCGTTTGCCGCCCTGCATTTAGCTCTCTCGGCGCCTTTGCGGTTTTGTTGAAACCGTTCTTTGCGGCGAAAGATATTTATGGTTCTATGTTTATACTCTTAATCAAGATCCCTTACACTAAAATGCATAAAACATAAAATGCATAAAATGCGTACACAAAGCGATTCTGACACAATGTCAGAATCGCAATTTGTGTACGGGCATCCAGGCCACACTAATAATGTGCTAGCAAAAAAAAAAAAAGAAAAACTCTACTTACGTCGAAGACATGCCTGAAATCAAGAGAAGAAATTAATGCAGCAGTGCAAGTGAGAGAAGACTTTACAATGCTTTTAATATCATGCTATTATTTGACAGTGCAATTTTACAAAACACCTTTCAACTTTTGGTACCCATATTGGCGACCATGCTTGCAAGCACCTTCCATTAATGTCTCTTTTTTTTTTAGGTAACTATTCTTTATTTGTTTTATTTTTGGTGTTGGAGAGACGCACAGGCACGGGGAGTGCCCCGGTCGACGACAAAACGTAATAAATACAGTCGGGGACGTACTTAGGTAACGTAAACTTAGACTTTAGATTTTGTTTTTGCTTCCCTAATATTTCTTGAGGCATTTCAATTCCAAATTGGCTGCCGTCAAGTCGATTTTGTAAGCACTTACTTTTCCTGGCTTTGAATAAGGGTCGGAATGAAGGGAAATCTCGTACCAGCAGTCATTCGTGATGCCGACTACATTCAGCAGAGGCAGTCGAACATAAACAAGTTTGAGCGAGCTAGAAAAAACTGCCGCTTTGCCCAGAACCATATAGGGTGAAAACGGACAGATTATTTTCGTCATTCTTGTCTAGCTCCCTTGCACCTTTGCATTTAATTGCATTATAATCATAAATTCCTGTTTTTTGTGTTTTTTTAGCCGAACGTGTGTGATGAGAAACCGCCCGTTTAAAAAATCATGTCTCAAAACTAATAACTTTATTTTTTTACAAGTGGCATTACGAGTTGCTTTAATATTTCCGAAAATAGGGAATATTAGACAGCAGAATTTACATATTAGTTGTATGATTTCTTTAACTACAAGACATATTACTCCAATAATCACTGCGCTTTTATCAATATAGTTTGTAAGCACTCCTCTCTCCAATACCTTAGGCCCGGAGAATTTACGAAATAAATAAATAATTCGGCTCACAAAACATTCATGCGGTGGATAAATCAAAGAAATCTTGTGTTCCTTTACTCCTCTTTATGATCTTTTCACGACACTGTTAGTGGGCAGGGCCATTGTTGGTTTACGCTGTATCTCTCGGTACAAAAAGACTGATAGCATTTAATATTTTTGTGGAAATTGTTCAGTTGGGATACTAAAGTAAGTGGTAAATTGTGACGTCCTCCGGTACTTTTTCGAAATAAAATGGCACAAAAAACCGCCGTAGTTGTGTTCATTCTAACAATGTCGCGCGCAGTGTACTTCTATAGGATTGTTTTTCTGCAGCCCGTAACTTGCTTGTTGTGGTATAGTTTTGTTTCAGTTGAATAACTTGCCATTCGGTTTTCATACACCAAAGGGTCCTTTGACATCGTAAAGGAACAGTTAATGTTGTTCAATATTATACATATTTTTTTGTAATATCACGCAAAGTTCTCCCAAAAGTGTTAAAAAGCGTCTTCTTAATAACAAAATATTTAGACTTAATTATAAAGTTAAAGCTCCAATTAACGCATTATTGTAATATTATCCCAATTATTGATTTAATTTTTTGTTTTTTCACAAGCTTCTCATCATTATTTGAAGATTTTAGTGTGAACATATATGTTATCAATATAACAACATCCCTTTTCATGTGAGGCATGCTTCCAGGAGCCATCTGGGGGTCTCTGGCAAGTTAGTGTCGAATGATAGGAAATCTCAGCCCAATAGTCAGATTACGAGATTACATCTCACTTGCAGGATCCGCACTTCCTATATTTTAGCAGTCTTCAGTAGTATCGTGATACTCTTTCGCGATAGTGTAACTCGTTACATTTTACATTGTTTGTAACTTTTATACTTTTTTTTCAAAAGGTTACTAAAATGCATCTGCGAAGGTACAGGTACTTTTTGCGAGCAAATTATTCTGTTTTATGAACACTACAGCGGGTTCGATCGTGATGCGGAAGTTGGGTCCCGCGTTAGACGCGACAAAATAAAACAAGAACCGAAAACTTTTTTTCGTCGGAGCAAAGTGCCACCGCAAAGAGCAGACGCTTTTCTACTTCTGTTTTATTTTCGTTTTCAAGGCAGGGAAAGCCCATTTAGAATTTCCGTTATTTCAACCTGTCCTTGTCTTCATCCTTTCCGGCCTCACCAAACACCGCCGGCTTTTCCGTCAAGCGACATAGCAACCTCGCTGAAGCACGACACGCGTAGACACCACTGTTATACTCCGACGTTGAGCGAAGCGAGCGCAGCGTAGTCCAGAACACGCGTTTTTCAATGTCCGGCGAGCAGGGATTCGACATCTTCGACCAATCAATAGCTGTGTGCGTTGCCCCACTCCACTTTTGCTGCGTTCTACGTCAGACTATAACGAAGCCTCAGCGGTGAAAACAGCCTTTGTCGTCGGTGCCGCAGCAGTAGCGGCGGTAGCTTTCTTTACAAAAGCGAGTCGCCGCCGGTAGACGCTGACCGCTGTAACGAACGATGCTTCTATACTAGCCGACTTGTCCTTTTCCAGAGGCCGTGAGCCTGTGATCCACGGTCGAGTCTTTTGTTCTACGTTTCACCCAAGAAATTAAAAATAAAAGCTGAACACCTTTCGAGACTATTTTATGTTGTTTTTGTTCACTCTTTTCTTTACCATGTTTTATACTAACAATATTTTCCACTTTATTCAGTTCCAGATAATTTATCCTTCTACTGCTCCCCCTATTATTGTACTGTACCGTCTGTTTATCTCTCGCCTGGCAGCCAAGAAAGGGGAGTAATAGAGCTCTAAAGAGAAAGGGGAAGGTAGTAAATATAAATCGTAGTCATTTTGTGTAATCAATGTCTTCTAAGCTAAATTAGAAAACAAAACACGAAAGTATGTTGAAGGTAAGTTCCTATGTTGAAGTAAACGTAACTGTCACGCTTTGCTTTTATTTTTAAGTAACTGTAACGGGGACCTAAATACATCTTTGAGAAATTATCTGTAACTGTAACGAATTACTTTTTATAAGTAACTTATTCAAGACTGTATTTTACATTCTTAGCCCTCAAACGACATGTCAGAACTGGAGGATAGTTTAATATCGGAACTAGCTTGTTCCTTGAATTTCAAAAGACTGCTAACGGTTCTTGTCATTCTTCAAACAGCGCCTAGGGATGACGACAATAATCCCTGGAGAAGGGGAACAAGGGGGACAGAGGACAAACACAAATCTCCAAACACAGCTAGGTGACTGGTGCGCGACCGAAAAAATCCACCTGGTCCGGGTATCGAACCCGGGACCTCTCCATTACAGGTGGAGCGCTCTACCAACTGAGCTAACCAGGGGTTGGTAGAGCGCTCCACCTGTAATGGAGAGGTCCCGGGTTCGATACCCGGACCAGGCGGATTTTTTCGGTCGCGCACCAGTCACCTAGCTGTGTTTGGAGATTTGTGTTTGTCCTCTGTCCCCCTTGTTCCCCTTCTCCTGGGATTATTTTCACCATTCTTGTCCAGCTCGCTTGCACCTTTGCAATTAATTGCATTCTGATTATAACCTTAAATTGCAAGCTTCATCCTTGTTGGTGTTAGACTGGTGGCGGCTGATAAAACCCGTTTGCTCTACTGACGTCTAACCACTGATTAGCTCAGTTGGTAGAGCGCTCCACCTGTAATGGAGAGGTCCCTGGTTCGATACCCGGATCAGGCGGATTTTTTCGGTCGCGCACCAGTCACCTAGCTGTGTTTGGAGATTTGTGTTTGTCCTCTGTCCCCCTTGTTCCCCTTCTCCAGGGATTATTTTCATCATTCTTGTTCAGCTCGCTTGCACCTTTGCAATTAATTGCATTCTAATTATAGCGCCTAGGGACATTGCAGTGAAAGGGTAACTAACACATTTGAGCTTATTAACCCTCTCATTCTAAACTTTTTCTCTCGAATGTTATATTTATCTCAATCGGTGTTCAAATGCCGCGTAGCTCGTCAAAAGTATTTAATCGATTAAACAGAAGTGACCTGTATAACACAACTCTGGTGCGGTTATGTATCCCCAAGAGTAACATTATGGTTTGGTGTCTCTTACGCTGGCGTCCTCTGTGCAGTACGTTAATATTTCAGTATTCTAACAAACCGCCGCTCTGAATAACAAAAACAGGGCTTTGCCGCCATTGATTAGATCTTATTTGGCACCATGGAGTCAGATATTGTCATGCCTACCATAATCGCTGCATATCAAGCAACCTTTGAAGATAAAGCAAATCATGCAGGGACATTAAGGTTAAGAAGTTCAATGTCTCGCAAAGCTCGCATTTGCCGACCAGGCAAGTGCGTATGCAGGATACGATTACATTTTGTTTTTTATCTGCTTCCACTTTTCTATGTGATTAAGGAGGGGGGGACATGTCTCGGTGCTCCGGCTATCTGAGGTCGAGAAATTGTATTCCACGGCATGGCACGATGCCATGAGGGATATAGCAAACGCGATAACTGCAATTCAAGTCATTCGTTTGTCTGCACCATTGAGCAGATTCTCAATCCGACGTTTGTTGCAAGACAACGGCTATGCTTTCTTCATTGGTAAAGACGACTTTCGTAGTTGGTAATTCCACACACATAATAATTTAGAACGTCGGAACACCACGGAAATTCGACATTTTTGACAGAGTAATTTGTCAAGAATGCTTTGTTGAACAGATATGTCTTGTTCGAGTATTTGTAAGTAAAATATAAATTTACATTAGGCAGAGGTCTTGGAATTTTGGGTGCTACAATTTGCGAAACTGGTGACATATAGCAAACCCTAAAATTCGAGTTTTTTATGTTAATAGCTTATTATTTACAAT